AAAAAAAAAAAAAAAAAAGAACAGATTGGAAACAAAGGGAGATAATAGAAAGCAGCAGAAATCTGTGATTTTTCCCTCTATATGTCAGAAGTTTAAAGCATAATACCATTTAGATGAGTGACTCATAAATTTTTCTACCAGGACCATGCCTGAGAGACAGAATATGAACTACCTCTTACTGCCTTTAACTTCACTCCTGTTTCTCCTATTGATCCAGCACAGATATATTAAGATACCTGAGAAATGCTTACATCGCATATTTATGTCATGTCTTGCAAATTGCTCAGGACTGGGCAGGCTGGGTGTTGGGTCATGAGTTGGATGAGATGGAAAACATGGATACTAGAGCCCCAGATAATTTTGTAGCTGTTAGTCTACTAATGACCCAAATTCTACCTTGTGATTCAGTCCAGTAAGAATTGCCATTGAGTGATAATGACCTGCGTGTAACAGTTATATTTCTTTCTTAATTTCTTTAGGGAGAACATCTTTGGTCCTACAGTTTTCTTGATGCTGACATTTTTCTAAGTGGTCTTGAATAGCGTCCTTTTTACATAGACAACTGGCTAGACCTAATATTTTCCTCTATAGAAGCCTATAACCTACAGTTGCCAGATATTTAAATACATTGCTTTTACGATTTCATCTACATTTAACTGGAGACTTCTTCTTTCCTTATCCTAAAATGTTGAGATACTGGGGAGAGATACCAATATCATCAAGCCAAACCAACAGAAGTTCCTTTGATCTGCTTCCACGGGAGTTCCGTCTGGTAGAAGTTCATGACCCACCCCTGCACCAACCCTCAGCCAACAAGCCCAAGCCCCCAACTATGCTAGACATCCCCTCAGAGCCATGCAGCCTCACCATCCATACCATTCAGTTGATCCAACACAACCGACGTCTTCGCAACCTTATTGCCACAGCTCAGGCCCAGAATCAGCAGCAGACAGAAGGAGTAAAGACTGAGGAGAGTGAACCTCTTCCTTCCTGCCCTGGGTCACCTCCTCTCCCTGATGATCTCCTACCTTTAGATTGTAAGAATCCTAATGCACTATTCCAGATCCGGCACAGTGACCCAGAGAGTGACTTTTATCGGTAAGGCAAAGCTTTGCTATATCTTGCTTTTCTCAGATAATCTTCCCAACAACCCTGTTAAGACTAATACAGTTTCCATTTCCACATGAGATAGCTGAGGATAAGAGCAATTGACTTGCCAAGATTTCTCAGGTAATTAGTGGGAAGTTTAAGTTTTTAACCTCAATCTATCTATTTATTTATTTATTTTTTGAGACAGAGTCTCACTTTATTGCCCAGGCTAGTGTGCTGTGGTGTCATCATAGCTCACAGCAACCTCAAACTCCTGGGTTTAGGTGATCCTCATGCCTTAGCCTCCTTAGTGGCTGGGACTACAGGCACCAACCACAATACCAGCTAATTTTTTCTGTTTTTAGTAGAGATGAGGTCTTGCTACTGCTCAGGTTTTTAAACTCTTGAGCTCTAGTAATCTTCCTACCTCTGCCTCCCAGATTATAGGTGTGGTACTTGCTAGGTGTGCTAGGATTTATAGGTGTGAAGTCACACTGTACCTGGCTAAACTTTAATCTTTAGAATCCAGAGTGTAGGCCAGGCACTGTGGGTCATGCCTATAATCCCAGCATTTGGGATGCTGAGGCTAAGTGGATTGCCCTGAGCTCACAAGTTCAAGACCAGCCTGAGCCAGAGCAAGACCTAGTCTCTAAAAAAAAAGAAAGAAAGAAAAATAGCTAGGCTTTGTGGTGGAGGCCTGTTGTCCCAGCTACTTGGGAGGCTGAAGCAAAAGAATCGCTTAAGTCCAGGAGTCTGAGGTTGCTGTGAGCTATGACGTCACAGCACTCTACTGAAGTTGACAAAGTGAGACACTCTCAAAAAAAATAGAATCCACAGTATATATATTATTGTTGTTGAGATAGTCTCACTGTGTTGCCAAGGCTGGTCTTGAACTCCTTGGCC